TGACTGGAGTTCAGACGTGTGCTCTTCCGATCTCAAATGTTCAATTGGATTCAAGTCTGCGCTCTGAGAAGGCCATTCAAGTTTGTTGATCTTATTTGTTTTAAAAAATTCCTGTGCACAGCGATCGCTGTGCTTACCACTTTTAATGAAGTTATAGATAGATAGATATATATATATATATATATTGTATATATAATCAATATTCGATTTGTGTCTCTTGCTGGAAAGCTTCATAAGTTGCTGATTAGAGTTATCAAGGCGTCCTTAATTGGTACGGTCCCGCATGCTATACATTATATAAATAAGAAATATCTGGTAAAAGCATTATAATACTGCAGGAGATAAAGCACAAAAGAGGAGAATAAAATGTTTAGTGTAACGGATATAAGAAACCAAGATAATGGCGACGAATAATTTCACGAAATGTGAACATTGCTAGAGAATTACCTGAGAGTGGCTATCTCGGCGTCTTTCGTAGCACCGTCAGACGCTATAGATATCGTCAATATATCCATTTTTTAATTGAATGTATATTTTTTTGTAACACAATCGATAAAATTATCACAGAAAAAATGTATATCAAAAATATAGATATATGGTTCAAAACTGTGCTACATCCACAAATTGTAAATAAAAAATACGCATTTTATTTTTAGACATAATTGTCAGTATCTATTGGACAATGCTATTGGATAAAATATGATAGGTGTCCGATTAAAGCACAATTTTTTATGTCAGTCATATATTATTATTTAAAATTTCGTACCCGAGAATTTTATTAACCTTGCTGACAACGAATTTAATTGGAGTTAGATTTTTTTAAATCAAAACGTCGGTTCAATATTCCGGATAATATATTAAAAATTTTAATTTCTTTGAAAAATATCTAAGGGGTTTTTGAATCATGACTGATGTGTGCTGAACAAAAAAGAAAAAAAAATGTCTATGAATTAATGTTCGTTTTATTAAAGTTGATCATACAACATTACGAATCACAAATAATTTTTATAAACTGTTTTCGTGCAGATTTATATTTCTAGTAGACAAATTATAACTGCTATGTTGCAACAACGTTGTAACATTTCTGCAATAAAGTCATTTCTGGAATGTTACAATGTGCAACATTATTGCAGTTATAATCTGTGTTTGCTGGGAATTGAAATGCTGATTGAAAATCTAGGCTAAATGCATTTTTCTATGACATAATTTTTTGAAGCAGTGTGTATATATATATATGTATTTTTTAATTTTTGTTCAGTATAATATATTATAATAGATATAAGAAATTATAAACATGGCATTTTAGTATATAAATAACATAAAAACTATTCTTCATGTCTATATTTTTTTCAGAGATAAAAGATGACGACACCCTTCAATTATTTTTATCATAATTTAAATTTTAAGGACAATATTAATTGTTCCTATGTAAACAGAGTATCCGTAAAAGAGACAAGTCATGTTGACTTCATTTATCAATTTGTAAATACTAGTTGTTGTACCCAAAGTAACGATAATTTTAATACAATTGTTAACTCTAAAATAATTGAACCACCTAAAAAGATTACAAAATATGAAGATTTTAAAAAGGTATTTATCACAATATATATATGTGTATTTTCGTCTTGTATTACTGTTATCGTTTTCTATAACTCGCAATTTAACTTTATGCGAGATTTTGTAGTATTTGACATTTTACTGGCTTATTTTTTAATACAGAGAATTTACGAACCATTGGACGACTACACATCATCTTCTGAATTAGTTGATCAAACTGCACAACACAATATGATCAAAAAATGTATTAGTAAGTAATATTTGAAATAATATAAATATTATATGATTAAAAATACACTGTTGTTGAAAAAAGATTATAATCATATTTTCTATTTTGAAGATATCGAATTTTATGAAGCGTGTTACCCCATCAAATTGTCTTTGTTTGCCCGGGAATGTTGTTTTAACAGCATTAAACGAATTTGGGCACAAAATTCTGATAATCAGTGGTTTCTTTTATGGAGTCTGTTTTATCATAATCACAATCCAATTACAACAAAATCACTATATACTCTGATATTATGGAGGTCGTGTGATTTTAAAACCAAATTACTTAAATTAGAATTTTACCATGACACAATAAACCACACCAAGATAGATGCTGTAATGCTTATTGGTACATCAGAATTTATCCTTCCTAAAAGTCCCAAACGATGTCTGAGTAACCTGTTAAAAGGAATTCGTTATAAAATTTATCGTAGATATTCTGACGATAAAAATGCTTCTAATACAACAGATTTAGAA